CCATTCCCCACTCATCCATCCCGTTCCCATTCCCCATTTACTGCCTCAGAACAGCATCCATCCCATTGCATTCCCCACCCACAGCCCCTGCACTCCTCAGAACAGCTCAGAACAGCATCCATCCCATTGCCATCCTCACTCACTGCCCTGCCCAGCTCAGAACAGCATCCATCCCGTTCCCATTCCCCATTTACTGCCTCAGAACAGCATCCATCCCATTCCCATTGGGATGAGCACCTCCACTCGTCCATCCCGTTCCCATTCCCCACTCACTGCCATGAAGTCTCTGGTGCAGTTGGTTGCAGCAGCAGCCACAGGAGCCGTGGTTCTCTCCACACCAGGACTGGCACAGTGGCTGCTGAGGGTGACATTCCTCTCCTGTCCCACGGTGTCATTCAGCAGCAGCCTCAGCCAGAGCTGGTGCTGTCCGTGCTGTAGGGCAGAGACTTCATCAGAAAGGGGCAGTACAAGCTATGGGCACTGAGCTCTGACTTCAGAGCTCCTTCACCTTTTGGCATGACCTGTTCTTATAGAGGAGTTTTACGTGGTCAAAAATATAAATACCCTCAGTCTTGAAGGAAGTTAGAAACAGAAACCCTGCTAAACCCAGTCCTGTCCCAGAAGAAAATCAAAACCCCGTAAGTCCATGGCAGCAGCTGCCCAGGATGAAAAGCCCTTTACCTGCAGTTGAGTGCAGTTGGCAAACGGGACACGGAGCAGCAGCCTCTCATAATGCACAGTGTGGGCACAGAACAGCATCTCCTCACCACTCACATCTGCCAGGGAGGGGAAAGGASRGGAAAGGAGCTCAGTCCTGCAGCAGAGAGCTCCAGCAGCAGGGCCAGGGCAGCAGCAGCACCTACCAACAACACACACGTGCCACGAGGAGTTCCTGAGCTCCCTGGAAAACGCCACCTGCATCCCATCCCTGTGACAGGTGACATTCTCTGCAGAGAAAAACACCATGAGCTGCAGYAAACCCTGCTGGGGGCACACAGCTCCAGAGCCAGGGCAGGGGGAACAGCCCCAAACAAAGCCAAAGCCCATCCCCAGCCCAGAATGAGCACATTACCCAGCAAATCCTGATCCCCCAGGGCAGCAGCACCGGGGGCCAAAGGCAGCACAGAGCCCAACAGGAGCAGCAGCCTGCGAGGGAAACAATCCCATGAGAGAGCAGCAAGGAAAGAAAGAACCCCGCTCCCCTTCCACCCCAAACCCACTCACCACATCCTCACGGTGCTCCAGCACARCTGCTCAAACCTCATCTTCTCACTGCCCCAAAGCTTAGGCTGGGCTTGCCCAGGATGGGTTTTATCAGGCTGGGGTGTGGCTCACACAGGTGTCCCCTCTCTGCTGCCCAGGAATTGAGCACCTCCACCTGCTGCTCCATTGGAACACCCTCAGGTGATGCTCAGCCTCTGACAGGGGTTGTTGTTGCCTTTATTTTGAAGGATCCTTTTCTTGAGCATGTGTTCCCTTCATTCCCTTGCTGGATGTTTGATAGAATGCACAGCAGTTCAAAAAGTAATGACAATTATATCTGTTAATGAAGATTTCTGTGCCACTTTGCTGTCCCTGTCCCTCACACATTGGCAGCAGAACAGCATTTCAGACACCAAGGAGCTCAGGGTGGCTTTCCTTGTGATTGTTTGTAGCACTGGTGATGGTATCACTGGGAAAAGAGCCCCCAAAACCGAGGGAAGGGTTTTAACAAAGCAAAGAGCCTGAATGCCAGCTCAGGATTTCYACTTGAGAGCAGTCACCAACTGCAGAGTGGCTGTGACAGCAGAGAGTGTCACTGCTGCCAGGGGACATCCWGCAGCAGCTTTGCCTCCCCAAGGAATTCATAAATGAGCTCTCACTGCTGTCTTAAATGTTGTCATGGTCTCTGAATTGCGTGGCACCATCACCCAGATTACCCAGTGTGACTGATTCCATTCTTCTCCAGGCCCATTAGTGCCAGAGATCTCATTAGGCTGAGCTGCCCCCCCTTGCAAGGCTTTTCCCATTCCACATTTGGGGCTCAGAAAAGCTGCACTGAGGAAATGTTGTGCTGGACAATGCTTCATGCAAAACAGAGGGCACAACAACATCACTGCCAGAATTGTGCTCCAAACCATCTACAGCAACCTCACTGCTGCTGCTGCAGCCTTTKGATCTAAATCCTTTGTTTAACTGGCAATATTTCATTTAAAATAGTTGTCAAATTAATAGAGTGCTACCCATGTGCACAGTAAAATCCAATAATCAATCAAGGCTGCAGTTAAACAATTCATTTGTTTACAGCACCATGTAACATCACAAGAGTTTCTCTTGAGCCTGCTAAGACATTTCAATTGGAAGTGGAATGGTTCTGAAGTTCTTTTCAAACACAAAAAGAAAAGCTTCATTCTAACTGTCCAGGGAGTTTGAAAAGTTCACAATTTTGAGCTTTAGACTCAAAAGAATAATCTCCATTGAGGCTGAGAAATTTAGCTCATTTGATGTTGAATCATTTATTGCATTTCAAGTTGAGGTTTTTGGATGGGACAAAGATGAACAAGTACCAGGAGTTTGGAAACAGATGAAGATTTCATTTGGTCTTTTCTTTTTTTCTTTCTTTCTTGTAATGCCCACTTCTATGACAGAAACAATAATAAAGCTTGCAAAGCCCTGGAGCTTCTCCCCAGTTGGCACGGGTTTTTCTTTACCTCTAATTAAAACTTGAAACAATATCTCCCACTTAGCATTATGCAGAGTAAGTTTAAAATCAACATTTTCAGATGTTAATGATAAAAATCACTCTGACATCAACACTTTGTGTGCTGGATTAATTTAAAGAAAATCCAATGAAGGTACTTCTATAGTAAAAACTGAGAATCTTGAAAATTCTTTTTGTAGTTCAAAGTCCTTTTGCAATKGCCCCAGAACAGCCAGGCAAAGACGTGGGGAATCTCAGTTCCAGTGGTCAAATACACAACAAATGCACAGGCAGAGCCTCCTCCCAGGCAATGAAACACTCSCACAGCACAGAGCTGCAGGGATGAACTTTGGCTCCTGAGTCCCCTCCTCTCTGGGATGGCTCAGTTTGTAATCATTAATGTGTCCCTGAGATGCAGGAGGGGCTGCACAGCCCGGGTCTGGCTCCGAGCWGCTCTGGGCAGGCAGAGGCCGCTGGAAATGTCGAGCAGATATCACCAGGCAGCGGCTGATGGCAACGTGGAGCTGCTCAAAGAGGCCACCAGGAAGGACCTCAACACCTCTGACCAAGATGGGATGACCCCGACCCTCGTGGCCGCCTACCACGGGCACCTGGAGGCTCTGGA